TATTTGGGCAAGACTTGGCAGTCAAATGTAAATTGCCTTCAAATTCATGCATTATCTGCTTGCAAAGGTATCTATCTAGGTAGGGAGATGTTCGGGACGATTGTTTAATTGTTTTCTTAGTGTTTTCTTTCGATGTTACGAACCTTAGAATGCAGTTGCTTCTATTTGCATTTTTGACTGACAGAATGCGTGCTACGTGATCATGCGAGGGCTCACTCTCCACCAATATCGTAGCCTGTGCCAGGCTCTCAGATAGTATAGTGGGAACGTATTAAGACGAGCAAAGCGAAAATAAGACGCGCACGACTTGGGAAAGAGGACCATCTCGGAGCCTGGAACAGGTTACCAATATCGGTAAGTCAACAGTTTTTCATAATAGTGACCTAGCTATAGCAGGACAGGAAGCATAGCTCCGCCAATCTACTGCAACATGAACAAAAATCAAGTGAGGGAGGGGAGGTTGAGTAAGAGCAATTTCCTTCAGGGCACGATAGATTTTAGATTTTACAACTACATCCGTTCACCATTTTCACCAAAACTGTCGATAAGCTGTCAAATTTAGAGAGGTTCGTGTTACTGATGTCGTAAAGCCAAGCCTTTTTCATTTGTTGTGTATCGATTTCTCATTTGCATTATTAAAAGAATTTGTCTATTGTTTCCATCAAACATTAAACATATTCTTCTTAATCTCATAATCTTGAAAAAGAAAAGCCTTAGAGCTAGGATTTTACTCCCAAATTCATTTTAACATTTCAAATCGCTATTAAAGGGAATTAATTTCTGACTAATTAGGCTGCTGGTGATATGATACAAAAACTTACTTGGCTACATTTTATAGGATGTGTTGGGTATATATATTTTATAGGCACTATTAACTAGTGAAAGTGTTTACCCAGTCAGAAATCAAGATTTCTTGGCCGGCCGGTTTACAAAAGCCAGGACATGTTAACGCGTCTGCTCTCGTAGGTATTACGATTTGCCGTGTTAAGGCTAAAAAATTTGCCTGGTCTAACACCCCCTACAAATGAACCGTGAGTTGCAACGTTTTCGTTGCATCAAGCCGCCATTTGCACATTGTACAATCGGGTCCACTTTACTCGGCGCTTGTGTGGGAGGTAGACGTCTCCTCGAGACATATTCAATTTCCGGGTGTTATTAGGCGTGGACCGAATGGCGTTTCGTGCAACTTTGCAACGAAGAATCAAAACAGACTGAGAGACAAAATGCAAGGAAAGTTGTCTTGTGTGATAAGACCTTTACCGACAGTGCTGTTTTGTTCCCTTCTCAACAACGATGAAATGACAAGAGAGGTTTGAGGGGGATCAATATCAACCTGCCTGGTAATGAAAAACATTTGCTTTCATTGATGTGATTGGTTCTTGTAATTTGTCGTAACTGTTCATTCAAACAGCATAGTTGTTTTTCTTGTTAATCCCAGTTCTTGTTGTTCATTTTCATTGGTAGATAAGATTACTTTAAAAACAAAGTTGTTTTTCTGCAAAATAAATGGATTCTTATTGGCTAGTACTTCATAGAACATAGTGTCGCGGCCCTGAAACTTTTGTTTTCTGAAAAACAACATTCATAAGCTACAACTTTTCACCTCGGTAGCAGTGATGTAGGTTGATTAAGTAGATCAATGAGGTAAGTAAAATGATTTGAAAATATCATTTTGTCATCAGATTTACATTTGTTATTTAAAGGTTTATAGGTAGCTTGAAAATATTAGTCACAAACGATGTAAATAATCCAGACTGTAATAACAGCGATGGAGAAAAACAACACGCCGAAAACAACTTAAAATCTCTTATAGAAAAATCGTTCACATCATGTCGCTGAAAATGTATTAAAAGCTTAGATGAGAGAAGCAGATGGGTAACCATTACCATTTTACGACCAGCCATTTTCTGTTGTTTTTTTTTTCTCTTTTGTTTAAAATCAAAGTAAGTTCATTAAATTGTCATGTTTGCGTATTACCATTTCAAAGTTTTTGTTCATGTTTTCAATTGGCAGCAATGAACGCAAACACGGTTGCTTCAAGATCTATCGAAAAGTGAAATCTCCATTTTTGTTTGCGTTATCTCTTGAAAACATATCAAAATTGGCAGGACAACCAAACACTAAAATGAAATTTTCCTTGGAAAAGTCCTGCGACCCAGACACTCCCTGTCGCAGTATATTCAAAATAAGACGAAATTAAAATCACAATAAACAATTTCCTTTGAAAATGAGAAGTAAGTTGGCATCTTGACCGGGCAACTTTTTCATTACAGTTTTTTTTTGGATGAACTCAAAGTTTAGCGTTATTTACTGAGTATGATCATGTATCCGGCTTGAAAAATGTGGTAATTGGATGGGCAAGTATACAATCTTTGTGGAAAAAATTTACAGTTGTCCATGATGAAAACCTTTTCCATTCTTTCAACGGAAGAGAACGAAAGCGATGAACGGTAAGTACACAAAGCACTTACACCAAGCCGAAAAACTTTCTGACAACATATGGAGATGATTTACAATTAACGCTTTCCGTTTACGATCTTTTTAAATGGTGTAAGCTTTTTCACAGCCTACAATACATTTCGTAGAAACATGTGTCAATTTTCTCAGATTTTTTTTGTAGGGGCGTAAGTTTCTATTTAACCGGGATTGACAGTCGGAAATACGCCACTGTTCGCAAGCTGCTTTATTCGACTGGCAAAAGTCAAACGATTTGAATTTTCTACAGATATTTTTTCTAAGGGATATTCAATTCAGTTACAAAGAATATGCGCTTATGTTGTTAAAAATACGAACATTACTAAACCTTTCGTCCCGATTATTCGTCTGAGATTTCTTGACATACCCTTGGTGCCAGAGGCTTTTCATGCGCGGTTTCCGGTTTCGGTCAAGTCTTAAAAAGTGACCCGCGCGAAACAAAGCGCCATCCCTTTGATAGCGCCGAGCCAATTACAACCCCGCTTATACCAAAACATCCAGAATCTGGATGTTCTGCTGATTGGTTCCTTGGAGATGTCGAATGTTTCAAATGTTCTGATTGGATTACAATCACAATAGGCGCATGATGGGGACGCGGGTGGTTTGAAGGTGACGAAGATCAAATTCCAAACAATCCAAGCACACGTCACGTACGTTTTCGCTTTTTGTAGGGGAATTGGAAATATCAGATGCCTTTACGAACGGAAGATTTAGATAAGGCAATAGCTGAACATTCCATAAGGTGTGGAGGAAATAAGTGCGAGTCTAAGAGAGGGCATTGCAAATTATATGCTCGAAATATAAGCATTGGCCAACATCGGCATTGTTGCCTAACATTCAAAATATAAGGATTTGTATGGGAAAAAACCTATCGTTTCCGTAACCTACGAAAACGAAAAACAGCTTACCTTAAATAAAATGTGTGTTACGTCTCTCCCGTGTGGTCCATGGGCAGATTTATGGCCGTTTTATGGGTTGTACTGTAAACGGTTTTCTCTATATATAAAGGTTTACCTATATACCACACATTTAACATAACATAACACTCATTTTATGTAAGGTGAGCTGTTTTTTACTGAAATCCTCTCATTTTCGTAGGTTACGAAAACGATAGGTTTTTCCCATACAAATCCTTATATTTCGAATGTTACGCAACAATGAAGATGTTCGCCGATGCTTATATTTCGAGCTTGGGCTACCTGTGATTCTACGTGGGCGCTTTGACTGAGCATATGTGCATTATTTTTTCCTCTTGTTTCACACATTTGTGAGTGAAAACACTCTGTTGGCCAGTTTCGAATTGCTTAAATTCATAGTTGGCTCCAGGGCTCCGGCTGATGGCAATAAAACAAACGGAAATGGATCATTCATCCCTGAATCTCAAATAATGCCTCCTCTTCTGTTTTTTACTCCTCAGCCTCGGTGCCAAGAATTTCAAACTGCTTCTCCTTTTCTGATTGGCTTAAATACGCTTAACAAACTTACGCTGGGCAAATTTGAATAACCAAAAGCAAGAGCCGATTACCTGCCAGAAGGTATGGGATGAGGGCGACAACGATCGAAGGTCAAAACGCTTTAGCTCAAATGCTGTGCTTTATGTAAATTTCACGTGATAGATGATAAAAACACGCGTGATTAAATTACAAGTGAGGGAAGGTGTACTGTCGCACTTTGTAATAATAATACCTGTCGCACTTTGTAATAAAATTGTCACACTTTGTAATACATGTCGCACTTTGTAATAACACTTGTCGCACTTTGTAATAAAAAAGCTGTCGCACTTTGTAATAACAGACCATCGCACTTTGTAATAAAAAAAGCTGTCGCACTTTGTAATAACACTTGTCGCACTTTGTAATAAACTTGAAATAGATGGTCGGAGGACAAGTAAACCCAGTAATTAGCGTCATCATGGACAACAACAACAACGACAATAAAAATGATAATAATAATAATAATAATAATAATAATAATAATAATAAAGTAAAAACTTGCAAGAGGTGACAGGCCGCACATCTTCACCGGCGTGAAACCTTTCAAAACCTTTTACATATTGCTCCATTGAGGAGAACTCTTTCAGGGATCTTATAGTTTAAAATTTGAACCATGATATAGCTTATATATAACGGACCAAGATACGGCTCGGTACAGTTTATGTTCAGCAAGGGAAAATTGTGTAAGTTGAGCAAAACCTTTAAAATGTACAACAGACAATTTGTTCAGTTCGCGCGTATTCATGTTGAATTTGTGGCCCGTTTATTAGATTTGTCTACTCAAAAATATAATAATTTTCCCATAGCTGCTGTAATCTTAGGGTATCTGCTTTTAATATCTCCGTAAAGTTTAGGTTTACGCGATCTCAGAGAACAATGTTCAGCTGTACACAGCACGTAGCCTTTAAATATATCCAGATCTAACACTGGTTTTGTGTATTTATCACAATGATGCCTTTTCATGTAGGTTCCAGCGTATTCGAAATTTCCACAACATTCATTAGTAGTGGTCATCGTGGCACAATGACGTGA